ATCCATAGGATAGTTGTGCCCAAGTCTGATTGTTAAAAAAATACTCAATTAATTAGTTACGGCAATTACTACTGTTGTCATCTTCATGATGAAGGTACACCAAGGTATAACGTAGCGACAAACTAATTGTTAATTAACCGTTGGCTGTGCATTAATCACGCGGAACGGCTCGCAGTCCCTCCGGTATACCAATGATATCCACATCGATTCTCTGTATCTCGCTTTTACGACTTTTCAATATTCCGAGCTCACGGCTACCTCGGTTATTCGAGAGTCCAATTATCGTAATTGATTTCGGTCTCCGGTCTCAGGTTTCCTTACGCTGTATAATTAATTTTAAGCCCCAGCAAACGGCCATAAAATTTGTTACGTTTTTCCCTCTTCCGGTATACATTATATACACCCACTGCAGCTTATCGCAGCGGGGAATCCCGAGCTCACGTGCACTTATCGATACATCGGCTCCGGTTTTTATCGACTCTTACGTAAATACGGGTTTATCGAGGGGAGGGTGGGGGCAGAGCTCGTGACTATCCATCAGTCGCGTCCTTGGCACTGGGAGGGATTTTCCTTTCTTATTTTTCTTCGATATTAAATTCAGCGCGCCCCCCCTCCACCAGATTATCGAGCGAGTACATGGAATTGCAGTGAATAAAACATCTCCCCTCTCCTCTCTCTCTTGCCTCCACCCGCAACCTGCTATAGAGAATTCACAACACGTAACTACCTATACAAATTGTTTATACGATTACGCAATAAATTACACAACTGATTCCAAAGGACTTTTTCAACCACCCTCATTTGCGGGTTGTGTAATTGCAGATCCGAGAAAAGTCGCAAACAGTGCACTGGAATATGAAAAAAAATTGAAGTAGTTTTGCATCTTTTATTACTAGTGAAGATGTTTCAACGTAATTATTATATTACTTTGAATAAGCTAAATATGAATTATTAACAATTATTACGACATCGATCGATCAACTTGATGAAAATAAACATAAAGTATGCATACACGATACCGACCACCCCTCCTGGGCGATTCCCGGAAGAGTTTGAAAGCTCCTCGTGGACCCGCCACTGCTAAACGTCGTACTCGGGGGATGTCGAGCGTCTCGCTAATTGCGAAAGGGAGTTGAAGCCAGACAGCCACAGTGCAGAGGCTCGATTGGCTGACACAAATGTACATCGGCGTGGTCCTTTGTACGTATATATGCATACATAAATACCGTACGGGGGTTGGAAGTGCCCATAGCCAAGGCCACCTTCTAATGTGCGTGCACGTTTGATTGTACTGTCCTACGTGACTCCCCGCTCTTGTGGCCAATTGTGCCTGGGTGCACGTAACTGCGGTTTGGCCTCCCGCGAAGTATATGTGAATTCGAATGTTGGGATGAAGATGGAAAATATTTTTCTCCTGTACTGTTTGTAGAGAATAAAATTTTACTAGAAAACATAGTTTGATGCATGGAGACAAAGAATACGGATACGTGTTTTCTTTTTTTTTTTTTTTTTTCTTTCCTTCGCATATATGTGGAACGCGCGTCATTAGAGTAAAAGCCGCGCAACTTAAAGACGGGAGGATGCATCATGCGAAATTGCGGGTCCGAGGAGTGTAGGCCTCTCGAAAAACTCTCTGCGCGTTCGCCGGAGCGCAAACAATGGAAAACCGGCTCATTTCCACCCGCATCGGAAACTTTTTTGCCCCTCGAACTTTGATACATGCCCTGCTCCAAAAAACGAGAATAGAGGGGCTTTTTGCTCCACTTTTTCTCGATCTGGCAGTCGAAAATTGGCTCGAGAAATTATCCTCGCAACTGCGGTGGAGGGAGGGGAAGGAAAGGCTTGCGAGAACAAGTGACCCTCACTTTTGCACGTCCTTATTTATTTTCTCCTCTCTCCTTTATCCTGTCGCTGCTCACTTCCTCTTTCCTCCTAAGGGGATCTTCAAAAGGACTCCCTCTTTTTCACGAGAGTAACGAAACAATTGGCCCCGTCCGCATTTTTTTTAACTCCTTTCGAGCTCAAAGGACCAATTGAATAATGCATTCCGCTCCAGCGAAAGCCCCCGCCTCTTCAAAACTCTCGTCGGAGAACCAATAACACTTTTAAAACACCAAAAAAAAAAAAATGAACAAACAAGTTTGAAACAATAACCCAACGCCCTCGCAACGCCACTGTCGTTCAAAATTTACACAATGGAGGGCACAATGCGCGCGCTCCAGCGAATCGTATGAATCATCACGGCATTTCCAACGACTCGTCGCGCACAAACAAAAGCGCAGACCCCACATCAGCAACAGCAGGGTCGTCCTCCTCCACATTATTGTATACATACACTTTCCAGTCTGCTGGCAATGTATCTCCCCTTTCCCCCTCAAGATTAAGCTCACGGGAGCGACGAAAGCCTGCCATCCAGGCTGTACAGGGGAAAGGGGAGGAGCTGCATTGCGCCTCCGACGTGCTCCGTGTACGCGAAATGCAGGGAGAGCCAAGTTGGTTCACACCCGCCAACTGTGCACGCGATCGATCGGTCTTTGTCCCGATGATTCGAGGGACGTTGTAAGTTGGACGAGACTGGAGACAAACAGTTGACGTTTACTTTGTCGGTCTCTCGTCTGGATCGGTGAATAACCCCCTCGACTTGATTTATGATGAAAGAAAAAAAAAAAAAAGAAAAAAAACATCTCCCCGGCGCCATGCGGATATAAAAGAAACATCAACAGCCTTTGCCATTAATCGACGACACGTACAACAACGAGCCGATGTATAATACTTACGCATGTGAGTGATGAAAGGAGAGCCCCCCCCCTTCGCCGGTAGAGGACTATTTTAATCAGCGCGTCATGCACGACGCGAGTGGCACGCGGCAGAAGAGCGAAAGAGGCAGTTGCGTTTCCGTCGAGGTGGCCAGCAGGTCGCGCGAGTGACACGTGCTTGTGCGTGATTTTGGGGGAATAAAGAGCCTTTTTATTTTTTTGGGGTCTTCTGTCCTCTTTGAGAGTGAAGGGAATTTTTTAACTTTCCGTTTCATGGGGAGGACGGCTGCGCTCAATTGGCGAGGCAAGTAAAGTGCGTTGGTCTCGCGTATCCGCCTTTCAGCGATCGCGATTGGTGTGTTGCTTCTTATATTGCACGCGTTGATGCTGTTTCGCGTTTGCATGGAACAGCTGACTTGGGGATAGTCGCTATTGACGAGGTGGGGCGGATTTTGTACCGACGTTGATGCGTGAAACTATTTTTCTTCTTTAACTTTTTTTTTTTTTAATTTATGTTTTTAGTATCGTGGAGAGTTTTGTTGGTAGAAAGGAATGTCAGATTATCGATCGCCTCGCGCGAGTCGATGCGGAATTTTTCAGTCGACCCCGAAAATTGTTACGAAATTCTTTAGCCAGTTGAAAAACATAACTTTGTTGAGGAAAATAAAAAAAAATAAAAAAAAAAAGAATTTGTTCTACCCTCTTGTACGAAAAAGAATCGACATTTTTTCAAGTCAAGTTTTCAAATATTCAACATGCATTTGACCGGTGCGATGAAGTTGTTTGAAACTTCATGTGTCTGACCATACTCGTATATTACTACTAACGCGCGATAAGCAGTCGTACGGTCTCCAGTTTTTCGTATCTCGTACATAAGCTCTTCGTTCAATGTCCATGAAACATATTGCAGGCTATTTCACGTCCAGTTAGGAGAAAAAACCTAGGAGCGAATAGATAAAAAAAAAAAAAAAAAAGAGAGAGATGAATAAAAATAAACCAAGAAATCAACGCAAATATTCCTTCTTCTTCTCTCCTTATCCTTGGTCGTCACAACTAGCCCCCGCTCGCATGCTTTTACCCCAATTCCGCCTCCGCACGAGAATACACGCGTGTATACACTTGTCTCCCTATCTCTGCTTCCATCTCCGTATCCCTGTTACTCGGCTCAATCGACTTGGCACCTGCCCAACAAACCACTGTACACGGCCTACATATCCACGACCGAGCGCGAGAAATGCGAAAAATCCGAGTGGCGTCGCGAGCACACGTGTGTCTATATATATAATATACACGTTTACACGAGCGTGGACCCGAGCCAGCCAGCTATATATGCTCCATCAACACATACCTCCAGCTTTCATTCAAACTAGCTGCTGCGGATGCCTCTCTTCAGCGAATTGGCTCGCGACGCATCTTACCAGCTTCTTCCTTCTCTCTTCGTACACACGTTTACAAATCAATTTCGATTTGCCTGCAGGCGACGGCTTACATTATACTCACACCGGTGTACAGGAATTTCCCAGCTTATTGTTTTTTCCTGCTAATTTGTAGTGTGAACCAATGCACGAAGTACCGCTTTGCGGGATATACGGGAAATACTTTCTTTTTTTTTTTTTTGTCTTAATCATAACAGTTAACGGAACAATTTCACTCTTTTTTTTTTCGTTTGCTCTTGAAACATTAGGCGTGCATTGGGCAATAAAACCATTACGGGACGTATATATTTATTTCCGAAAAGAAACGGCCAAACGCTATTTTTAGAGCCTCTATTTATAGTAAAGGAGAAGGAGGAGGAGGAGGAGAAAAAAAACCAAACAAACAATGGTTTACCTTGTTTACGCGCTCCGTTGGTGACCGACTCGCCAATGCCTCGAGTCGTCATCATCATAATGATCGCGTTATTTCGAGAATTTCGCGAATGTTTATCCGCGCCGCGGCATTTAACGCTGCTGTCGTTTACACTCGTATACATGTATATATATATATATATATACTTTACAGGTCATCAAAACGACCCAATTTTAAAATTAGTTTCAGTAGGTATATTACACACCCCCGAGCAATGTCCCCCTTTTAAACGTTGAAATCGAAGGTGTGACCTCCGCCAACTGAGTAGCGTATATCCCCCTGACACGCATACCAAAGCGTCGATTAAAAGTGGCTTTTAGGGGGAAGAAAAAAAAAAAAAAAAAAAAAAAGCACACACGATTGAACGAAACGCGGGTCCTCCCTTTGTATTTACAGAGCCGAAGAAGGACAAGAGCGAGCCGAGCGGTGGAAGCGGCGCCGGCAGTGGCGAGCAGCATTACCAGCAGTCCTCGGACCCGAGCAGCTGCAACAAGCCAAACAGGCCCAACACCTTGGACACCGGGGGCCGCTTGGGTAGCAATCGTCGGCTCAACCCCGCCCGCGGCTACTGCCCACCGCCCCGCGTCCTCGTTAACGACCGCAAGGTCCCTGGACCACCCTTTGACGATCCCTCGGCAGGTTGGCTGCTTTTTTTTTGTCTCTGTTCCGCGCGTTTGAGGTTCGCCAAACGACGACTTTTAACGCTTTGCCGTTGTGTGTCACTCCACACTAACACCATCATCATTGTCACCAATGCAGCTTGCTTGCTTTTTTTTTCTTTTTTTTTAACCACGTGGTACCCAAATTTTCTGCCAATCAGCGTCCCGAAACGCTGATTGCGCCACACATTGGGGCGAACACCACGAGCTTTTTCTCAGAGCTTTTCGACGCAGCTTGGGCAGTCATAGTATAGCTGTATCCTGGTGAAAATTGCTTAAACTCGAAAGTTTCCTGTTTGTAGTACAGCTTGCAACTGTACGGTACCGTCTTCTTCTTCCCCGAGAACAAACTTTTTTTTTTTCAGTATATATACCTGAATAGCATGGAAGCAAAGGGGAGTTTTTGGTGTGGACTGTGTTTACTTGAATTTTTCTCCTTCCCCTCCTCCTAATACCTTGGAAATGGGCCAATTTTACGCTTCTCCTACTAACACGAGTTATACAAATTGAGTATAATACATACCTTATATCGTGTGATCGATTTTCGTAATAACAGCAGTGCGCGCACACACCGTGTACACCTTGTACATTGTACTTATACTTACTTGGTAATTGCACTCGAATTGAGTTTCTCGTAAACTTGAGTATACATGTGCATATACCTGTATGGATACGTAATTTAGTAAAGTAATATTGGACTTTCCGATCACTCGGCGTATAACAAGGTACATTAATGTATTTATACTAACACTCAACTCACCTCGTTGTACGATGTTTCATTGAATTGCCTTTTCTCTCTCTCTCGCTCTCTTTTCATGCAAAAAAAGAAAATATATATCTACTAACTCTGTGCTTGCGTATACTGTATTATTGTTAATAAAAACTCATGGTAACACCTTCAAGATCAACCAAATAATATGATCCATCATAGAAGAAAAAAAAAAAAAAAAAAAAAAAAAAAAAAAAATGGCAATTCCAGCGGAAAAGGGTGTGCTTCACTCGGGTGGGGACGATCACCAGCAGCAACAGCAACAGCAGGTGATCGAACGATGCTACCCGCAGAACTTGATGCTGTCGGAGCTGCCGGAGCCACCGATTCCGCTGAGCGAAATTGGCCCGATCCCACCCCCGCCCATGTTCAGCTCGCCCAGCCCGACCCTCCTGATCCGGCAGCGGCAGCAACAGCAGCAACAGCAGGTGCCGCTACTCGACTGCGAGGATGACGGTTGGTATCTCCTGTTTACTTTTTTTTTGTTCTCCCACTCTCCAATTGTACACCCCGTACTTATATATACGTGGCACGTTGTCGGGGGGGTGCTATGAAAAAATTTGCAGATGACGAGGACATCGATGTCGACGACGAAGACATGTACGGGATCGACACGACGCGCGTCGAGGAGATACCGGCCAAGGAGCCCAAGTTCCACGCGATGCCGCTCAAAAGCGCGCTCAAGAAAAAAGGCGGCAGCGGCCCGGGCACGCCCCAGAGCACCCCCACCCAGGAGATCAGGCCGCTCACGCTGCGCCAGGAGCTCCACGCGTCCTTCAAGTACGTTCGCTCACGGGTTTCCGTGGAAATTTATACATAATACGATTATGCTGTTTTTTTGTTGTTGTTTCACTCGAAAAAAAAGAAAAAAAATCTACAAGTAAAAAAAAGTACAAGACTCGTTGGCACTTGTGGGTGAAAATCGTTTGTCAAAGTCATGTTTCAGGTGTGAAAAAAGATAAGGATAAACAATTAAGAGTATATTAATCGAAAAAAAAACAAAAAAAACAATCAAAGTAGAGATCATTTAGAAGATGACGTAGTGAATCACGCTTCTCGCCGTGCATTCGCCCATTAACACGCACATTATTTATCTTCGATCACTAGTAAAAGAGAAAAATCTTATGTTTCTTATGCTTAACCAGAAGGCCTCCTTTAAGGTCTAGGATGAAAATATGGTAATTTTTTCGCAACCCTTTCAAACTTTTGTGTTTCCTTTGTCTACACCGTTTCTTCTTCTTCATTTTTTTTTTTTTTTTCTTTTCCATCTTTTTTACCTTTTAACCGAGCAAGCATGCGCGGTTCCGTCAATATATACATACACGCTCGTGCGATATCCGTACATCCCCTATATTGCATATGTATTTTATACACGTTTGAAAATAATAGACCAACAGTTTTCGTACTCCCTCACTTTTGGCATGAAAAGTCTAATTTATTAAGCATGAGAAAACAAAAGATAGGAATTTCATCCAAATATATTTCCGCAATGTCGATTCTGTCACCGTCAACTACAAATCACTATGTCAATCCTACAATTATTTTCGTATAAAGTGTCACGTAAAATGAAGATACTAAATGAAATAAAAAAAGATTGGGCCTGAGTCTTCATTTCACGCGACTCGCATTCGCCAAATAGCCTTAGACACCCCAAATTCAACCTTAAAGAAAAAAAGAAAAAGAAAAAACTGAATTTGTCCACGCATCAGCCATCCCGAAATATGGACAAAAAACAAAAAAAGGAATAACGCCCGTTCCATTTTGTAGTAGCCGACCCGTGAGATTTGGCCTGGCGCTGCACAGCACCATCGAGAACAAGGAGAACGCGAGGCCCAACAGCATCCGCGAGGACACGGAGTCGGACGCGAACGACGGCCACGTGATATACCGGGACGACTACAACGACGAGCAGAGTGAGTACACCGTTACACAATAACCGGGATGGGAAAAAAAAAAAAAAAAAAAAAAAAACAGTGACGAAAATTTCCAAGTCAATGAGACACACCCGCGCGCATCAAGGAATCAGTCTTTGACGTCCCGCGCGCTAATTGCAGCTGGCGTGTGCGCGCGCTACCACCCTTGAGTTTAATATTAATCCACCGGCACGGTATACGTGTGCATAATACAGAGCTTTAGGTCGGCCCGCGAGAGGTGGCTGCTCATTAACGCCGACAAAGCTCTCTATCTATATCTTATAGCTTCGCCTTGCCACTCTGCGACCGTGAAAACAGACGACTCACGTGACCATGCCCGACTACATTTATGTACACACACACACATTTACGGATTTCTTGTTTTTTGTTTTCCTCCAACTTGCCGAAAAATCTTACGGACATAAATATATAAAAAAAAAACGCGAGGTGCAAGTACGATTCGTGGACTCATCCATATTGAAAAGTCTTCCGTCCAAGCGCGGGGGGATGGTTCTCGAAATACCTCGACCACTTGTTCCCTCTTTCCCAGAAAAAAGGTGATCTTGGCTCGGTGACCCTTCGATCGAGCAACGCAACGCGCAAGTGTGCCAATAAACGAGCCGACGCGGAATTATATCGGGCCATTTGGGAAATCGACGCTACTCGGCCCAAGTGCGATCGGCCGTGAAGTGCGTTTGTTTTGCTCGTGGTCTAGTATATATAAGTTCTCGGCGAAATACCCTTGTCGTCCGTTAGTGACTTTTCTGTACAACTTGTATCGTGATCTGTGCGGACGATGATGGACCGGCATCGCTGGAGCATGGAGTACAACGATTACTGCGACTTGATAGGTCGTTCGCTCCGTTGAATTTTGTACCTGATATTATATACCGCGATGGCACTTGTGGATTCTCCGATCGGCTGACGTGGACGCTAGTCCTTTTGTTTTCGCCTCAAGTGACTGATGCGCTTTTTTTCTTTTTTTTATTACTCGCGTTTTTTTTTTTATTGCTCGACGTGCATAGACGAGCGGTGCGTGATATTTTTGTTTTACGTTCAAAAAAAAAAAAAAAAGCTTTACTACGACAGCAATCAAGTTGCCATTTTTTTAAATTGAATTGGCATCACCTACGCTGCGTGCGTACAAAATGACCAGGATGTATTAGCAACGGCTGTCCGCGGAATCGCAAAGATTAATCAAACGATCATCGTCGTTCGAAGAAGAAAATAAACAAATCGAGCCGGAGGGGAGGAGGTGGCAAAAAGTGACGACGAGATTTCGTAACTTGGTCGCGAAATTCGATCCCCGCTCGGAGCTGTCGGTGCCTATTTCGGGCGTCACGGACGGCCGCGCGCGAGTTGTTATCGACAGCTCCTATAACGCTGTTGCCGCGCGCGTTTTATCGACGTGAAATTTCAGCGCCCGGTGCTCTCTGTTGTTTAAAATTTGCGTGACGAAACGGTACTGTTGGATTGAAAAATAAGCGTCCCGTACCGCTTGTTAATGTACAACAAAATGTTTTCAAAATTACTTGCTCCCGTGGGTGTGCGGCTACTTCCTGCGGATGAAACTTGTTTTTTCGCGTTGGGTCCGCGTATTTTTGGCAAACACCACTGACGCCATTTTCCCGGATCTCGGAACTCTTTTGAGAGCTACCTGTGTGTATATACCGTTTTGCAAAATTCAGCTCATTAGTAGAAAAACATTCGTCACCGGCAGAGCTATAAAACCCCTCGAGCGAAATAAATTGCACGACATGTCGAAACAAAACCGGTAGGGATGGAAATGTGAAAAGCATAAAACCATGGGCGTTTCAGGTCGACTCGCGGCTAAGATAGCGAGGAAGGAGTCGCTGAATCTTAAGCTGCAGCTTCGTCCCTCGCACCAGGAGCTGATCAATCGGAACATCCTTCAGGTACAGTCGGAAAATGAGAGGCAAGAGACCAAGGAGGCGATCGGCGCGAGGCTCATCAGGTGAGATTCATACTTGATTTTTTTTTTGCTATACGCTGTTGATCGTTGGAGGAATCACGAGATGGGATTTTTAAAAAGTGGGCTTTTGGTTCCTCTACCGATTTTGCGCATAGTTGAAGGAATATGTTTTTTTTTTTTTTTCCGGGGGAAACCCAGTAATTTTCTTGTTTGGTTAAATTAAACGATTTTCGTCGAGATTAAAATCGCGCGCGTGCGGGTGCAACGAAAGCTCGTTCAAACTTGCGGAAATCATATTTCCAAGCTCATCGCACTTGCAAACTAATTTCGCGCGCAATCAAAAGTTTTCCAGCCATTATTCCAAATTAAACGGCAGCCCTCTTGCATCCTCTTTTAACAAATTGTAAATTGATCCGTGGGTAAAAAAAAGTGTACTCCAAACTGAACAATAAAAACAGAAGCAATCGCACAACAAATCCACGGGGTCGCAAAAAATATGGGCTGTAGTTTTAGCTGTTTCGACGATTTATTGGACGACGCGCCGTCGTTGATTTTCACCAAACAGTAATGCGTCCGCGCTCGAGTGACACATGTGTATGTACGTGCAACCGATGCCAATCCGATTTGTTTTTTAGTTTATGACACGGTACTCTGATGGATAGGGCGGTTCGATCGTGACGATGGACGCGATGAAATCTTGGCCGTTATTTATATTCGCGTTAAAAGACAACTGGGACATTTTCATTGTTGGCAAATGTCCCATTTTCCTTTTTTTTCCAAGTTGAAAAACGCATGCTGGTCTATCTCTCTCTCTTTTTTTCAATTCATAATACAAGCAGAAATTATCAGATCATGCAAAAAAAAAAAAAAAAAAAATCACGTCTGCCCTCAAAAAGTTATTACCTTACGCGAAAACCGTACGCTCAAAAATCATTTTTACCAACCGCAAAAATAGTATACTTAGATGAATGCTTTATACGCGGAGATGATTTAAACGACTAAAGTTGCGTAAGAAAAAAATATACCTAAACTCAGCCTTCAAACGTGAGCTATCTTCCTTGGAAATTAATTTCTGCGTGCTAATTGAACGTTCGTGTGATCCCACAGGCGGCTGAGCATGCGGCCAACTCAGGAGGAGCTCGAGGAACGAAACATCTTAAAAAGTAAGCCCTCCTTATCTCTGACGCCTATTTAGACCCTTTTGTAAAAACGATTCGACTAACCGCGCGATTTTTCACGCGCAGAACAAAGCCCGGCCGAAGAGAAGAAGCAGAAGGAGGAGAAGAAGCGCTACCTCCTGCGGAAACTCAGCTTCCGGCCGACCGTGGACGAACTCAAGGAGAAAAAGGTCGGTTGTTAGTTCTCTTTAAAAGAGAACTTTGTCTTTCATTTTATTTTTTTTCACCTACATACAGTGTCGAATGCGGGAAGCATTGCGTATACACTCAAAGTCTTGTAATGTTATGTAACGATTGCACGGAACATTTTTTCCCTCGACAGATCATCAGGTTCAATGACTACATCGAGGTGACGCAGGCGCACGACTACGACAGGCGAGCCGACAAGCCCTGGACGCGACTGACCCCGAAGGACAAGGCTGCCATAAGAAAGGAGCTCAACGAGTTCAAGAGCATGGAAATGGCCGTTCACGAGGACAGCCGTCACCTCACCAGGTACCGTACCACAATAAGCCCACGACGATTCATGCATTGTGTAGGGAAAATATAAATAAACCATGGCGCTCTCTGCTTTCTTCCTCAGGTTCCATAAACCATGACAATTGCAATGTGTAGAGTTGATAGAGTGTGATGATGGTGCAGTTAACGAATGTAACGTGGGTGCTGTGCCGTTGTGGTGCGACATTGGCGGCCGCGCGTCTCAACGCCGTCGACACGGAGCCGGGGTCTCGTACTCGCCCGCTGCCGCGTGAGGGGACAGCATCGTGGTGCAACGCACTCGTTTTGGTATCACAACTGGTTGTCCGGATGGAGGACGGCGTCGATGGTTTTGCGGATGAAGGAAGAAGCAGGATTTTGCTTTGCGCGTCCCGTGAGACTGTACCGATCGGTGGACGAGGGAACGAGCACGGCGTTGTTGTACACGCAGGCACGCACCACCCGTAACAATACTATTATACATACACACATACACCTACCCGCAGGTTTCAAGTGCGGCAGCTCGATTGTGATATAGAGTGCGGAAGAGCTCGCTGACGCTAAGCTTCCCACTCTGCAACTGATTTCTTCTTTATTCGCTCTTCTTTGTTTTAGCTCGTTTTTTTTAAACTCTGCTTGACTCTTTTTATTTTCCATAGCCGTCATTTTTTACAAACTCGTTCGTGCGTTTTTATCTCGGGTTTGATGCACGACATGTGTACGTCTCTCTCTCTTTTTTTTTTTTTTTTTTTTTTTTTTTCTTTTTTCTTGCGGTGCACCGCGCCTTTTTTGCGGATCGGCGACAGAATTAGACACGTATAGGGGAGGAAAACAACAAAATGTCGTTCAAGAGCTTGCAATATTCGTGCTGTTCGTTGTCTTGTGAATGCTCATTATGTAACGATTTTCAAAGCGAGCCAAAGCTTTTCTACATGTCTCTGTACGAATCAACAAGCGATTTGTTTCACGATTCTAGTATTATCGTTGTTTGAAATACTCATCAAAATTTGTAATGTATCATATTGGTACGTTTATCAAAGAAAACGTAATATTTTTTTCAAGGTGCGCACAGAAAGAAAACCGTCTAAATTGCACAACTGGTATTAAAATCATGTAATCGACGAAGGTGGCCTTGGTGGCGCCGAGAAATCAATTTCATTTCGATTGCGGCAATCTCGACATCGATTCGAAACTAAGCTGCGCACAATACGCGGGATAACGCGTCCACCGCTGCATTGGCAATACTTATCAAGTTAAATTAACGAGCAATCAATCGAGCGGGACTCTCAGATGGCTGAATATTGTAAAACAAGAGAGAAAACCCGCACGTTTTGGGCTACTGCGATGTGTTGTTCTGTACGTCGAAGAGCATGAGATGTTGTGTTCGATAAAATCTGCTGCGCTACGTTTGAAAAGAAAGTCGTGCAAAGTTTCCGCGCTGCGTAGGATTTTTTGGAGAATCCTTGGCAAGAAATCATTTTTGTGTGACTGCGAGTAGTCATCAGAAGATATAAAAAAAAAAAAAAAAAAAGAAAAAAAGCGGAGAGAATTGGCCCCTCTTTTTGGCCGCATTCCTGAATACACATATAAATATATATATATATATATTTAGTAAAGTTTTCGAGTTTTTAGAGGAACAAAAATAAAATTGTTCCTAAATATATTTGTGCATTAGAGAAACACCATGCTGCATTCTTATGTGACTTACTGGCGTTACCTGGCTCGTCATTGTTTCCAAAAGTATCTTTTAAATCATGTCTCTGCAGTTACATCGATCGCCACTGTATTATATTTATTGTACATTTTTGTTTATTATCGTTTGTTTTTTTATTTATTTTTTTTATATAGAGTCATGTGTTTACCGGTTTATGCGTAAATTTATAAATTTTATATTTCGAAACGTGTGCAATAACAACTAACTAATTGTAAAATTTAGCGTCATTCCTGTTTTCGTGTTGGATTTGTCTTTTTTGTACTTATATATTTATACAGGTAGCTTTGGTAAGCGCACAAGCTATGCATCGACTTCTATTAATAGTTATCATTATAAATATATTAAGTATTGATGCGAATAAAATGAAACGTTGTATCGTGCAATTAATCTTGTACAGTACATAATTATAATTATGTAGGACTACTTAAGGAAAAAATTTCCAATGACTGTGGATCACTTTCAACGGTATTCTCGATCGTTTTCCATTGAAAAAAGGCGAAAAAATGTTAGCGATCGACCGATTGCTTAGCAAAAACAAAAACAGTATCTTCCATTGATCGAAGATTGTGGTAGTTTAGGAATAAACAAATTTTTTTAAAAAGCGTTTCAAATCAAAATTTTCTATTCAACAAGATGTGTTTTGTGTATTTTAACAAGATTGTCGATATCTTGAATCAATAAAACAAAAATAATCATCACCCAAATTTTTTTCTTTTTTTTTTTTTTTTTTTTTTTTTTTTTGCTCAATGTCAAACTTTTGGTTTTATATCATTGATACTTTTTAATTCGAGTGCAAAATAATTTATATTAAAAAAAAAATAAATAAATAAACAAAAAATTGGAGACGAAAGATGAGAATGCAAAATGAGATCTTCTTATCGTTTAACGGAAGCTATAACCACTGAAGCGACGAACGAATTTACGCACGATTAGCGAAACATATTTAGGAGAGTTCGGCGTTGACCAACGTCAAGCTCAATTCTTGTATATACATATATAAATAAATATAAATACACATATAAAATAGTGAAACAAACACACTGAAGATAACGAAATCATAGGTAGGGCAGAGTCTATTGTACGAAGCTCTTTAATAGAATGGGAATAAATTGATGCTATGCACTATTGCATAAATGATAAATTCAAGACAAACTACATATAAATACATATTAATTTTTACGTATGACGTCCTAAACGTGAACGATACACCCTATTATAAATATTATAAATAATACGCATAGGTATTAGCATAATGCGCGTTTCTAGTACCAGTTACTATAAAACGTGTTGGTACGAACGTCAAGTGTACTAAGAAAAGGGAAGCAAAATAATATGCCCCGAGCACAGTATACGTCTTGTATTTTGTATACAAAAGCGAAGACATAGGAAAGAATATGTGTCACATGAAATGATTCGCAAGAGGATCGCGCTTTCTATATACATATAACTTTCAACGTAAAAATATGTACTTTGGCTAACACTCGGAAAAATATAAAATAAATGTGTAATCTCTAAGTTGGACAACGCACGAATGTGTGTGACGGGAATCGTGCGCATTTGCATAAAGTGTGCAATTTTTAAGGTATATAGTACGATGTGGTGCCATTAGCCTCAAGAGAAAACAATTAATAGACTTTCGATTGCCCGACGTTTGTTGTCGTTCGATCGAAAGTCGAGCTTTAAATTTTCCTTGAGGTCGTCGATTAAGCGAAACGCGTTTGAAACACCGAAACTTCCGTTCTGCGGCTCGTATTGAATATTAGATAGTATTAAAAAAAGTGTATGGCTTCATGTCAGTCGCAGATAACCGATTGGGTGTAATAACCGCGCTTGGATCCATGTGTGTGCATACAATAAGGAACATTCCATCGAGCTGTAGAACGGAAGTGAACAAAAAATTGATAAATAGACGGGGGAAAAAAAATTGACGTTTTTCGTAACGTTGAGGTTTGTAAAGTAATTTTTAAAAGTCGCAAAAACATATACACACTGCACATGCGGTGAAGATAAATTTCCTGGTATCGTTACCTGGACGGACGGTCATTTCTAATTGTAACATATTCGTAGACGTGTAGTTAAACGTAGTTTTTATCGGTAGATTATAATGAAAACAATAATAAAGAACAAAATACGTTTAAGGTGGTACGTGAAAAACGAAAAAGGGCTTATTTCAATCAATCAATAACTTTTTTTTTTTTTTTCGTGCAATACAATGGGTTAAAAGGGTTAGCGCGCACGTGTTTAACATTAACACGTTCTGCTGTTCTAAAACACTTGATCGGAAATAAGAAAAAATACAATCACTTGTAGGCTGTTGTTGTAATTGAAGCTATGTCGTTTCTCATATCTTTCATGGAATATTAAAAGAAAAATTAAAATTTAAGAACAAAAAATTTAACCGCCAAACTATATCCAACGAGCGAAGAAGTTTATTCGTGTTTTAAAGAAAAATAATTACAAAAAAAAAGTAGTATTGCGTCAGCAAGAGAGAAAAAAAAAACCGAGTTATCGTCCTTCTTACTACGATAAAGAAAACTCGATTTCAATAAAATTAGCTAATATTACAATTTGTTCGATACGAATGAAGTTAAGTGTCAAATTTTTCAAAAAACAAATGATATATACATGCATTGATGGTGATTTTTACCGAAAAGACGAAGATACTTGTACTGTGCGAGAGCAGGAGTTGAAAAAAAATGAGCAGCTTTGTAGACTAATAAAAAGCTTTGTTTTTGTGCTTCTCTCTCTCTCTCTTTTTTTTTTTTTTTTTTTTGTTTTTTTCATTAGACAAAGGTTTATTCTACGTTGCTATGTCGATGTATCACTGTTCCGTTAAAAAAAGAGCGACACTTATCTTCATCACACTCACGATCTATGTTTTCAAACAGCTCAATTATATTTCTGTTGTTCAAAGTATGCGTACTTTTTCGAGAAACAGCGAAGGTTGATGTGTACGAACGTATATGACTGTTGTGCGTTGGCCAAATACACTGAAGATATAGATGCGAACACGTAGTATGCTGTATTATAATAATCGAGAAAGAGAAAAGAAAAACAAGAGGCCCATTACAAGTGTAAGGAAACATTGTATATAATTATTATTATAATGTAAACTTTAATGAAATTGTACCTCTGCCGAAGGAGGGAATAATTAAAACGAAGCGATTACATGGGTAGGGCCGAGAATGCGCGCGAGGGAAGGGGGTACAATGAGTATTAGGTATTAAAACGAGCGATATAAATGTCGGCGTTTCCGAAAAATCGCGCACCACACTCTCCGACTCTGGCGATTTTTTTATCAGCGGGACTCTGCGTTCTTTGGAATTCGGAAGCCATTCATGTCTTTTGTTATTAGTTTGTACGCGCACCATGATTATCGCAATTTATTATATATATATATACATATATATATTATCAATGAAATATTGTAACAAACAAAAATACTGTTAACTATTCTTAAAAAAAAAAAAAAAAATTAAAACTTTTGTAAACTGACATGAAAAATATCTTCTTGTTCATTCATTTGCACCCAAATCCAAAAATGTTAGACTAAACATCAATATGGTATTTTCTTTTCTTTTTTATTATCATCAAATTCATCGTTTAAGATTATTAAGTACAAATGTCAATAACTTTGGAGTTACGAATTAAGTAATAATGCAGACTATCGTACATTATAATGCTACGTTACAAAAACAAATTTGTACTTGCAGTTTTGTTGGAAGAAAATAAACGGACATCTATCGTAAATATATCGAAAACAACTAAGAATACAATATCGCAGGGTATATAATTATGTACACGTACAATCAGATCGACGTTTGTAATATCACAAGTGAAAAAAATTGGGTACACCCAATCGTAGGCAAAAGCATCCCGATTCATTCGCTTTTCGCCGACGCTGTCCAGGTGCGGCTCGTACTGCCAGCTCCGACGAAGGAGTCAAAGTCGGCGAATTCATTGTCCACCGGGGACGCGACCGTCGACTCGATTTTCCTTCCCAAGAGCGTAAACGGCGATACCTGAAACGAAAGGAATGAAACCGCTCCAAAGGAATTCCAAAAATACCCACCACAGAAATCGATCATTTAATAGCCAAGGTCGTCTCCGAAGGATTGGACACGAAAAAATAAAAAATAAAAAATAAAAAAAAGGACTGTCAAACCTTTCTGGCGGTGTAGCTGCGCAAGTCGTAGCCCATGTAGAATCCGATCCGCTGAAGGCCTAGGACTGATTTAATCCGAAATCTTGGCTCGGGCTGCAGTAGCCTCTTGAGCATGTCTATCGCGACGTGCGACAGATCGCCGACGTCCTCGGGCAGAGTCCCAAAACTCACGGCCTTGTGCTCCTCGTTCTCCAATAGGTCGCTCGATATGTTTTTACCTGGGAACTGAAACGAGAGGAGAAAACAAAAAAAAAAAATTAATAAATATTGCTGAATGACGGATGACCCCAACACCGACAAGCTGCCGGCGTGTCCTCCACACTTTGATCGATGAATAATTCATCAAGCGCGAAAATTTATGCGATTTCACTGAAATATGGCTTTTTTCACCTCACCGGTGATTATTTTGAAATTCCATGCCAGACTCGATGCGTAGATTTGTCGATAGAGCTTCGGGCTCGTGAGAGATACTATTTTCGGGTTCTATTGTGCTGTTCAGGACTTGGTCTTTACGGAGCACAGTCAATTGGGTTGTACTAAAAGTCTAATGTTTTAAAAAACCTACATTATTTGTAGAACAGAGAAAAAGGCTCTTTCGGTTTTTTTTATTCAAAAGTGTTAGATATCAAAATTGCTTTTTTACTTTGCGTAC